AAAAAAAAAAAAAGAAGACAAAGCCCTTTCAGGGACACAGACTACAAGAGTCAACTGAAAGAGTAAATGAAAAAACGCAATTCTCCTCTTTCAATAAATATTTACTGAACTGGTCCCTGCCAGCAGGGCACACAGAGCTTTGTCAGCAAGACAGGGAAGCGAGTTGACAGTTTTAAGTATCCATAGAAGCAGCAGTAGATGCTGACAACAGAGGATCAACCTTCACTTGGCCTTGGTAGGTGACTTCTCCCAGCTTCAACCCAATGTAAGCATCAGTAATGAGCCCGGAAAGCTTTTCAGGGGAATTTCAGAGCAGTGAGATAGTCCTGCTTATACCACTAAGCCTGACTTCAGAACTATTTAGGGGATAGCATTGTTATTACCTGTTGCTGGTTTCGATAAATCCCTGCCACACACTGTTACACAATTTATAAATACAGAAACAGGTTGGACTGTCCCTATCAACAGCCAGGTATCTGTCACTTCCCACAGACCTCATTAGTATAATGGTGATGACTTAACTATGAAAATTTCACATTTTTTCAAAATTGGAATTCTTCCGTGGAATGAATAGACATGGAGAGACAGCCTCTGTGAGTTTCAGGGAAACTCTGTACTCCTTTCTCTTGTCACATCAGTCTCCCAGGCCCTCTGCCCTCCAGCTGACAATGTATTATATTCTGGCATCGTCACATTGAGTCCAGGAAATAAGTGGCTGCTGGGCAGAAGCCTCTAGAAGCTGTGATTAAACCACAGCTCAGGTGAATGGAAACAAGTGCCTCACTGTGATTCAGTCCTAGAAGGCGTGTTCATTTCTAATTACGGCGTTCATTTCATAATTTCTAATTATGGCGTCCTGTGTTTGAGTCTACCTTCATGTTAAATTAGTTTAAGCTAAGGCATAGAATTTGTCACAAGACTTCCTTATGGTAGGAGAGGTAGGGGGAGTTTTATATCCACTATCATTTTTTAAAAATCCTTGATCATCATTTTAAAAATGACATTCTTTTTTTTTTGAGAGAGTCTCACTTTGTCATCATCTGTACAGTGCTGTGCTGTCACAGCTCACAGCAATCTCAAATTCTTGGGCTCAAGTGATCCTCTTGAGTAGCTGGCACTACAGGTACTCTCCACAATGACTATTTTTAGTGACGGGGTCTGGTTCTTGCATAGGCAAACTCCTAAGCTCAAGCAATCCACCCTCTTCAGCCTCCCAGAAAATCAGTCTTGACAAACCAAAGTTGAGAAGTGCCTTGAAGATATAATAGAAGATGTTTCACCAGAGGATATCCATAGACTCAATACTTGGAAATGGGATTGTTGTGGCCAAGGCCAGGTCTCTGCAAGTAGAGTGTTGCTGAAATTCTGTACTGAAAACTAGGCTGGTGCCTGGACTCACCAAGGACCTCCGGGCTTACAGACCCTTGCTCTGGCCTACAGCCTGCTTAGTAACTCCACGGCTGGCAGAGAAGAGTTGGGCTACAGAGACAGCCCAGGGCCTGGGGACTGCGGGGCAGCAGCCATGGTACAAATAAAAAGAGAGATTACAGGGACCAAAAG